AAAAAAAAAAAAAAAAAAAAATCAAAAAGATAAATAAATGAATAAATAAAATCTTACTGGTTGAGTGAGACTATTTCAATTTCTGACTATGCAGAAATTAAAATTTTAAATGAAATTAAAATGTTTCCTTGACTGATGTTAAACAATTCCTACCTATCTCATTTACAATAAATAAACGAATGAATGAATAAGCTATTTACCACAGAATCATGAAGGACCAAGATTATTCAGTGCATTCTATCATATTAGACACAGGATGCAGACAATGATATCATCTTGTTGGAGATTTGGGGGAAGGACAGTCTGGAAGAATGCTTTATGCAAATACCAGAACGTGTCACTTTCTCAGCAAGGACAACATTCTCATTAGTTCTGCCTTTGTTGGACCAGTAACCATAAGAAATATTTGCATAATACTTCCACAAATTTACTTAACACAACAACTCTATGGCAGAAGAGGGCAGGACTTAGTACATTACAATTCATCTTACATCTTAGGAAACAGAGGCTCAAAATAGGGAAGTGACTTGCCCAAAGTCTCGATTCGTCAGTGGCAGAAATGGACTCAAACCTGCTCTTCTAATATCAGATCTCATCTTTCCACCTTTCCAAGTAGGGGATGTTAGAGGTAGGCGTGGGCATTCTACAAGAAGACAGAATGAGAGGAAGGAAGGGAAGGCAACGGGAAAAGAGTGAAAAAGATTTTGACGGGAGAAAGTGTTTTGTTAGAAGTGAGTCCAGCCACTCTCAATCGCCCCGATGCCTCTGAAGTGGAAACAGTGATCACAAGTTACCCTGCGTCTTACCAACTTCTGCTATTTTGTGAATCAACCACTGCGCTGGAGAAATAAATGCTCAAAAGATGTCCAAGGATGTTTCTCGTCTGAGGTTCTGACAGCCGAATTTAGCCCCCGCCCCACGGAGGCCGTGGCCCCTTTCTCGCCCCCGTTGAGTGCCTTAGGGGGTGAAGACACGGGGAGCGCGAGGGAGCGGAGCGAAGAGGGTTCTCGCTGTTGGGCGGGTGCGGAGGTTGGGCTAAGCACAGGGGGAGCTTGCGGCGGAGCTGTGGTTAGGGGCATGTGGGTTTTGTGGCTGAGTACCATGGTGGGGTAGGAAACCAGGATCACAGCTGATAGTCAGGGTGGAGTCCACATACCCAGGTAGGTTTGGGGACCCGAAGGGGCTGAGAGCGCCGGAGAGGGCGAGGTGCGAGCGAGGCAGGGTGGTCTCGCGGCCGGAGGATGCAAGCTGCCTCAAGTCCCGCCTCCCCGGGCCCCTCTGCCACAAGCCCCGCCCACAGCGCCAGGCACGCGCGCCTGGGGGGCGGGGAGGGGGACCGCGCTGGGGAGGGGGAAGGGGGAGAGGTGAGCCTCGTGCACGCGCCTCGCTCGCTGCGGGTGCGCGAGCAGCGCGCTCCCGCCTCCCGCGTCGCCATCTTTTTCCCCCTCCGTCCGTCTGTCTGCCTTTGGCTTTGTCCGTCTGCAGCGCCGCCCCTCAGCTCCTCGCCACCGGCTTGGCCCAGAGCCGCCCTCCGCCCGCCAGGGCCGGGTCCCGGAGAGCCCCGGCCTGGCCGGCCTGAGCTGCAGCCCGGGGCCCATTGTCCGGCGGTCCGTCTGTCCGGAGGCGGGGCCCAGGGACCCGGAGGCTGCGCCGAGGCGCCGGGTAAAGACACCCCCGCGTCCTTCCTGCGGGCCGCGCCGAGGATGCGGAGGCTCCTCGCCCACTCTGGGTCGCCGGCTGCCGGTCCTTTTGTCTGTCCGCGTCCGCGGAGGGGGCGGGGGCGGCCGGGGCTCAGCGCCCCCGGCAGACAGCGCCCTCCCCGCGCCCCGGCCCCGCAGTTCCT